ACGAAGTCTCAAGCTGTCAGGGACAGTTGGAGCAGAATCATTTCTCACTGGAGAGAGAATGCAGTTCAACAGATTCAAAAGCATACTGGCAAGTCATTTTTTTTTATTTTGCTGAAATTTTGTCAAAAAGGGGAAAAAAGAGGAAAGCTGAATAAGCTTTAGAAGGGGAAATTTCCCTGTTTTTTTTCCTTAGAGTGACTAACTGCTGAAACACTTCTATGATAAAATGTGCTAAAAGATCTAGATCTAAACAGAATATTTTGGGTTTACAGTATGAACACTTGGATCAGCCTGGGATTGTTTTCACAGAGAATCTGATGAACGTTTTTGGGGGGTTTTTTCTTAAGTGAAAATAGGACCAATTTTGCAGCTCTCCACCATACAGAATTTCCATTCTTCCTCTGAAGACGTTTCTGGTATTTCATTAAAATCATTGGTTTATTTTGATTACCAACTCACACTAGCATCCATTTCTGGTCCCTTATTCTCAGTGTCAAGATTTTCACTGATTTCAGTGGGAGCATGGTGATTTTTGCGGAGTATCAACACAGATCAGCAATCCCAGGAGCGATCTGAAGCCCAGAGCACTCCTGAAATCCAGCTCCACGATGGTTTTGTAGGCAGCCTGAGCTCAGCTGCATGTGGAATAATTCCCCACGGTGTTACTGATGGAAGGATTCGGGGCGCTCCAAGCCGTGCAGTGACGGCTGCGAGATGTCACCAGAGGGGCGGGTGGGATGGGTGGCAGTGGCTAGAAGAGGTGCAGTGTGCCAGGGCCTGTATACCTCTATACAGGTCACTTGTGTGTTCCTGTACGCATGCAAAGCTCAGGGCATAGCTGATTTTCTCCCTCAATACCAAGTGAGACAGACGGAGCCCTGACGTGCTCTAGGGGGAGAAAGTACTGTAAGCAGTAAGAATCTGTTGTCAAGCCTGGTTTCTGTGCCGGTCCTGTACTGCAATATAGGCAGAGCCATAGAGACTGAAGGAAAAGCTGCCTTTACAGAATTTCACAGGCAAAGATACAAAATTTGGAATGCCAGTAGCCCTTAGTAAAGGCATAGCTGTTACGAAAGAGAATTGAAATACCGTAAATATTAGGAAAATACTTCTGATTCTAAATTACGCTATTTTCAAGCTCATTTCAGGGTCTGATTGTGACTAGATTCTCCTAGCTCTCTTTGACAACTGAGGACTGATGCATTTCAAACTATTAAACCCTGACCATTTAGTAGTGTCACTGTTTTTAGAAGAACGTGCGTGTCTTGAACTAACAGATTCAAACTATAGTGCCAAATGCTGTTTGTATTCACAGAACCCGAGCAGTTGCCTGTGTTCAGGTAGATTCTCCGAGACCCCGGGAATTAGGCAAGAGTGGCGTGTTGCCATGACTGCCTGGCACACGCTTCTCTGCGAGGAGCATTGCTGGGCGCACGTAACCTGCCCTCACCACAGGCGGCTGTGTCGTTTTCGTCACACGGGCATCTCCTGACGTTTCATTTATTAGCTCAGCTCTTTTCTGTGTTCATCGAGTTGTCCAAGACTACCCGTCACAACTTCTACAGTTCCTTTTTGCATATTACTACACCTTCTTAAAGCATCTGTGCAATCACAGCCAGGGTGTAGTCACAAACTTTACAATCCCTATTTAACTGATAACGTGTATTAGAAATGACCCCACCCCACCCAAAAACCTAAGCGAAGTTCCCTTGTACGAGAGAATCGGCAGGAGTTAGGGGGCAGAGTTCATCCTGCTAGGTCAGAGTCTAGCGCAGGTCAGATTCGTGTGCCAGAGTCCTGGCTAGTGCCCGTCTGTGCCGCTGTAAGCAGGTTTCGACCCACTTCGTCTGTGTCAGCACAGAGGCCAGAGTGGGATTTTGGGTTGTATTTGCTAAATGAGCCAAAAGCGGCACCGGGGACACATTTGCATTTAAGAGATCAGAATCGACTTCTCCCAGCACTTTCTTTTGCAAAGAAGTTTCAGAGCAGAAGAGCAGTCAGGAGGTTCTCCGTGCTCTGACGATCTTTAAATTATTTTCTTTCTCCTTTCTTAATCTTTCCAGTCTGTGCCCTTGAAATGAAAATAAAATAAAAAAAATTTAATTTGGGAGCCGCTTCACATTTTCTGAAACACAAACTCCCAGGGGAAGAACACAGCAGCTGTTGGACAGCATACAACGAGAGTACACAGCTTTTTACCGCGAGAGTTGCCAAATCTGTCACTGCTAGTTCAAGATTACAAAAGAGGTTGTAGTACTATACACCGTATCATTTTTATTTACTTTTCTGATAGTCTGCTGAGGATTTAGTAACGTTCCCAACACGTATTATTTCTAAACTTCTCCCAAGACATGATGCAGCCTCAACAAAGGAGCTCATGTATTTTTAGAGTTAGATGATAATGTATATGTAAATAATGCTTTGATATTAATAAAACTGCCTTAAAGGAATGTACCTAGGTGTGAAACAAAACTTTAAAAGCTCTTATTTAAAACTGTAATTTCCTTTACATACTGATTTTTTTAATGTTTGCCATTGTATACATTTATTAATGATGTTATTAAAATGCCAAACCAAATAATTTTTATTCTTATTTTGTGTGTACATTTATACACACTTCTCCTGGAAGCTGATGTTACCGGAAGGATACTGGTGTTAAGTAATGGCGTTGTGCTCAGCTGGTGATGTGTTCAGTGAGTGTTTCTTCCGGAAGGAAACCGATAAAACTGTAGCAGAATTTTTCTGGACAGTGTGTAGTTTGTTTCGTGTTGTTTATTTGTGTAGATCTGTGTAGCTTTTAACCATACACTATTTTGATATTATTTAAAAAAAAAAAAGACACTAATTTCGTAAGTAAATACAAAAAGAAATCATTATAGATTTGCCAAATGTAGTATTTGAAGCTTTGATTTTGCTTGGTCGTTAAGTTTGCTGAGAAGTCTCAGAATCCCTTCTGAGGACAAAGGTAGTTAAATTTTAGGTAGAACAGACTTTAAGATTCATGAAGCATAGTAAACTGCTATTGTGCACACGTCTTTAAAACAATTTTTCACATTTAAAGCTTTGTGGATTTAAAAACCTTGAGAAGTCAAAATTTTTTTTTTAAGTGATAAAGGATTTTGGGGTACCACAAAGAAGAAACCTTAAAGGGGAGGGAGAGCGCGTGGCAGGCAGAGGGTAAGATAAATTTTACTTTTAAAGACACATAAGACTGTGTCTTAATAGCTAGCTAATTTAGTAACGACTTTGTCAATCCAGAGTTCATTAATTAACCCAATATTCCCAAATACCAGATGTTCCTTTCAGTCTTTTCTTGAACAACAAGTATAAAATCACATGTATCTGGACATCTTTCCAGGGACTCTTCCTATAGCTTCTACATTTTTAGGCCACTTCTTTCCCATTTGAGACGACTGCCATGATAGATGGGGTTGGTTTGTGTCAGAAAAGGTGGAGGGGAGAATGTAAACGGCTGTCCCATGAAGGACTCTGTCGTTACGTTCACATCTCTGAGAACAGGTGCCAAACCCTTCAGAGATGAAGGAAACCGTGGTAAGGATGTTTGTGAAGTAACTTGCCTTGCCCTAGAAGATGCTTTTTCTTACCCAGTTAATGGTAGCTGTTCATTCTGTAGAATTAAGGAATTCACTTTCTTATGGGGGCGGGGGGGGAACAGTCCAACCCATAAACGTTTATGGTGTTCTCGGCTCATAGAACTGTCTTGGCCCTCTAGAATGAAACTGAGTCAAATTGGCTGATTTTTGCCTTGCGTTTCTTCTGAAGTGTTTCCCTTTATCGCCGTTAGTATCGCATCCTTTAGCGTGAGGCAGTCGTAAATAGTCATCCTAGATCGCAAGTCCTTTTATGTGTTTTTTCTTCGTGCTTCTGTATTCTTTATTTCCCTTCTGTCTCAACTTGTGTTGACACTGCTGCTTGCCTTGAGGCATAGTTTGTACTGATGTTTTCGTTAGGCTGTGTTCAAAAGCCTTTTTCCCCGTCATCTTTAGATCTTGTCCCTCACTTTCGCCCTTTCGCCACTCCCCCGTCTTTGGGTTTTGTGTGGGTACTCGTTGCCACAGTATGTTTACTGGACTTCATGGAGTTCTGCTGCTTCTCTCTTCAACACAAGATCTGTTTGAGGAGGGTTTTATTCATTTGGGCAGGAGAAGGGAGGAGAAAGAATTAGATTAGAAATTTAATGTTGAGAATGTACTGGTCTTGTTCTTGTGATAGTAGAGACTTTTCTCATCTGTTGAAAGCCAAATCAGCCTCCCCTCAACCTCCTAACGCATGGACGTTTGTACGTGCAGTCCCCTTCTCCTGAAGGGAGAGGCTCGGGTACAGCTACTTGTTGTACCGTTCTTTCCGTTCCTGTAGGTGCTGGTTAAGGTACAGCGGAGCGGAGAAGATGCACGTCCTCCAGGGGTTCACGAGT